ATCAAATCGGATTATCTTTATCTTATCTGAGATACATACGTATATGTTTTATCTAATCTGTATCTAGATTATTTCAAGTTATCTAAGCGCAACACTGAATATATATATAAGATATGTATGTATTAGATAACTCTATAAATTTAAGTATACTTTGTTATTTTGCTTGTTAACAATAAACTTTTAGTCATCTAGAAGACAAACTATAAAGTTTTTAGTTTTAAATTTGTTTTATCAATCTGTGAAAAGCTCTGATACAAATTGTCGGCCTCACTTGTTTAAGATCGAGCAATATCGCAGTTGTAAGACGAGAAGTAACAGAACGTATGTCTCACCATTAAATATATCGATTTTTTATAGCATATTGTGGTATAAAAGCGTCGTAATGATAAACTGTGTTTTATTTCTGTATTACAAGATTATTTATTTTTGTATTACAATTAACAGATTTAAAATAACTTTGTCTTCTAGATGACTAAAAGTTTATTGTTAACAAGCAAAATAACAAAGTATAATTAAATTTATAGATTTATTTAATACATACATATCTTATATATATATTATAGGTATTTGTAAATGTTTTTATATAAAATAATATTATATTTATTTATATTTATATATATTTATAAATATTTTTATTTAAGTTCTAACAAATAAATCTTGCGTAAATATCAATAATTCGCCAACATATATATACGTCGCGTGTGCATGAAAGATATAGACTATAATGCAATATAATTTGTGTGCGCGGGTTGCCATTGTCTGTCAATCTTCGTTGTTACGAGTTTATCTTCCAAATCAATGTCCAAGATAATGAGGATGCAACCTCATGATGAAGGACAACGGGTACTTCCGACTACAAGCCGCATCTTCAGTTCGATGCACATTGTCTACGATGTGTTATCTGGTTCAAACCGTTCGTGACATGACCGACATCTCTTCGAGAATTCACTGTACAATCGTTCTCATCTTATTGTGCGACATGAGAACGTGCACTCCGATTTCTCACGCCTGCATCACAGCAAGTATGCGGGCTGCAACAGGTAATCAATCGCAAATTATCAGTGTGATTAAATTTAAAGAAAGAAATCGCCGGCAATGCATCTATATATGCAATTTTCGAAATTGCTTTTTTTGTGTTTTTTTTTCGATCTACGATACAACTTAAGCGAAATCTTTGACAAAACATGTATTAATGCAGATTCGGAACGTTCCACGGTATCGGCATCGTTACCGATTTTCGAGGAGATGGAGAACCGTCTCTCGAGTTTAGAGCGAAGACTGCGAACGGTCGAGCAACCTGGTAAGGATGTTTCGCGATTTATTTTACTACAGAAAGTTTACAGTTGACGCTAATCAAAGCACGATTTGTCCTCGCAGTTTGGCAGATCAGCTCGAAGGAAGAAGACTGGGAGATTTGCGCCGAAGGACCATGCAAATGCGTACCGGAATTAAAATCGGTGTCCTGCTGGAGATACGACCTGCTGGATCTGCCTCCGACGCAAGTTGTTCCCACCGATGTGTTAAGACTGTAAGCGGATTTTATACTATACTGTGTGTTTCTAAAATATTCTAAAAATGTTTCTAAAATATTCTAAAAATGTTGCAATTAAATTAATGAACGACGTTAGTGTTTGGTGTGAAAAATAACTATGTGACTTGCTTGCTTTAGGGATCTTGGAAACAATCAGCTCACCGCTCTAAACAAAAATACATTTGGAAACATGACGTTGTTACAACATTTGTAAGTAAGTCTGACGATCGAGAAGATTACACGAGTTCTGAATAATTGTAAATTATTGTAAAAATTTTACAGAGATCTGAGCAGCAATCTGATTGAACACTTAACATCAAACTTATTTCTCTCTCTGCACAGTGTCGCGAATGTCCGGTTGAGTAGCAATCTCTTGAAAGAAATGCAATACAATCAGTTCTTCGGATTGAGAAATCTTCGAATACTGTTCGTGAGATATTTTACTATAGATTAGAGACAAAAACAATCAAAACTCATCCATTTTTTGAATTTTGATATTTTATGGGATAAATGCCCTTACGAAAAAGAACTACTGGCAGTAATATATTGCAGCAGTGTACGAAAAAATTACTGGCATTCTGTGTAATTGCCAGTAATATTCTCAGTGATTCCTGTAATACCTAATAATATTCTTATGTAATTGTCAGTAATATTTATATTACTGACTTTATTTATATGTAATCGGCAGTAGTTCTTTTTCGTAAGGATGCTCTCTCTTTCTTTCTCTTTTATCCATAATTTCTTTAATATTTGAACTTTGTCATAAAAAAATGTTATTATAAAAAAAATTTAATATATAAATTGATACATTTCACATTTTATTTATTTAGCGATTTGTCGTCAAACAGACTTTGCACTTTGCCGGAGGGACTTTTCCTGAGCAATACTCTATTGGTTTTGCTGGATCTCTCCTTTAATCGTATTTCGTTATTGCCATCCGCTACGTTTCGCGGTCTCGGAAATCTTGAAGAACTGTTGCTGGGTAAAAATCGATTAGTTAAATTACCTGTCCTGATTTTCCAAGATATGAATCGTCTCAAGCGTCTTGCACTCGAGGAAAATCGTTTGAAAGAGCTGCCTAATGATGTCTTCCAAGACTTGACATCTCTCAAAGAACTGGACATGAGAGACAATCGATTGACGGAATTACCTAAAGGATTGCTGTCAACTCTCGTGAAACTGGAAATACTGGAATTATCGAGCAATAGAATATCCCGTGTAAATCTCGCGAATTTCTTTAGATCACTTTTATTTTCGAAATCACGAAAATCTGACGGTAATCGCACAATGTGCATTTTGTAATGCGTTGCAAAAATATTTTTAACGCATACTATTCATTACACTGTGATAAATCTTAATTTTTGCTATAGATCGACGCAAGAGCTTTTTATGGAATGACAACGCTTCGGGAGTTACGACTGGGACATAATCATATAAAACACTTGCCACTCGGTTTATTTGACCACGCCACGTCTTTAGAACGTCTTATTCTCTATGGCAATCGTATAGAAATTCTAATAAGAGGTGTTTTTCGCAGTTTGTATAATCTTACTTCTCTTTTCCTGCAATCGAATCGATTAAAGATACTGCAATCTGGAGTGTTTGATGATACACCGAATTTGCAGAAGTTGTGAGTTTAGATAATATCTCATACAAAGAAGCAATTAAGAGAGAAACATATTCTATTTATTATAGAATATTTCTCCCCCATATTTCTGTTTGTCTTTATACATATATGTACGTATATATGATATAGCGTGATCTTTTTTCAGGCAATTGGAATCGAACGATCTCTCCTTTTTGCCAGCTGGCAGCATGGATGCCATATCCTCTATTCAACAAATACGTTTAAGTCGGAATCCTTGGCACTGCGACTGTCGTGCTTCTTATGTTGCCTCATGGCTGCGCAAAAGATTCGCCAGCTACGCAAATCTGACTAATGCGTTACAGATACAAAAAATGCTGATTGTAACAGGTAATTGGAGCGTATGGGAATTTGGAGCTGGCGCGACTTGCAGAGGTCCAGGTATATTAGGCGGCCAGTCGTTGCTACGTTTAACCTTCCACGAATTGTGCGAAGGTCAATGGGCCTCCATGAAGGGTATTGTACCACGATTACCACTGGACATTATCGCTTCATCCGTCATACCGCACGCGACAGAGAGAAACAAGATATAAGACGTTTTGGTATAAGACGTTACTTTGTTGAACACGCAATAATTTTAAAATGACAATAAATTTCTTCTATTATTTATCAATAATTTATTAATAATTTCATATTATGTATATAAGTATAATGCGTATAATAAAAACACGTTTCTGTTAAAACCAACTAAAGTCCAACCAATCTAGTCCATGTGTATAAACGTGAACAATTTTAATAAATACAAAACAAACATTTGAACTTATCTGTCCTTGCTATTATTATTTGTAAAAGTCGTATGCTATCATCACATGTTTCAGTTTATCGATTCCTATTGGCGTATTGAATCACAAACGATGAGAAAAAAACTAAATCTACTCTTGCCTCGAAAAACGTTTCATTGCAATACAAATTCGCACGTCGGTCGTCGAAGTATACTTTGCTACATCTATAACATCTTGTCACGGAATAAACTTGAAATATAGGAGAATAATGTGATCACAATAAAACTGTGCGTTACGTTTTAGGACACACTGAAGTAAAGCAAAAAACATTGATTTATTATTTTAATAAAATCTTTTGAAGACTGTGTCATTAAAAAGGTGTGTGTGTGTATGTGTGTGTGTGTAATATATATAATCTGAACATATATATCAATACCACAATAATAATTTTGAAAGTGTGCAATTAAGATATAGTATATACATACTACTATTGAGACAAAATAAATATATTAATTCATAAACTAATAAGAAAGAAATGACAAAAATATAGAAACTATAAAATGTATATAAGCTTTGTATATAGATTTTGTATATAAACGATATATAGCAATTTTTCATTCTTTCACATTTTAAATATAGAAACTTGTTTTCTGTTTAATAGTGCTTATTGCTCTCAAAATAGTTCTTTCAATTTTACTTCTTTTTGGTATTGCATCCACTTTTCTGTGTAAGTAAACACAAGCTGTAGTAAAACTGTAATAAAACATAAATATGAACCATAAATATAAGCAACTATAAATATAAAATTATAAATATAAACTTACATACATTTTAAAGCGCATTTATATAATTCTCAATAAAAGAAAAATATAATGAGTTACCCAGATAGCTAAGACTAAATGAGCATATTTTGCAAAGTCTGCAATAATACATTATGCTAGTACAGTGTAGCCAGCATTCAAACATAATCTGTTATTGCAACTAGTGTTGACAGAAAAACAGAAAAAAAGAGAATATAAATGTGTCATGCCGTGATGCAAATATTATTGTATGAATCAAGCAGAACTTGCTCAAAAAATGTGGCAGATTTGAAGCATAACGTGCTATTGTCATTTCATTCTTTATTTATTTCTATATTTTTACTATGTTGTTTTCTTTACATATCGTGCCTACATACTTCACTCACTATGATGACATAGCTGAGTGGAATCTGCTGCAAAATGCTGATTAAACCTGCGTGCATATTGCTGGCATACTGCTATCATTTGGCTATCGGAGTAAAAATGTATATTTGGTTTTAACTTTTTAAGTAAACAAATTTGTATAACCACCAAAAATTTGTTACTGTGTAATATAAATGATAAAGAAAAAACATTTGAGAGATGTCGATCATGTCACGTTTAGATCAAATGACACATCGTAGATAATGTGCATCGAACTGAAGATGCGGGATGCGGCTTGCAGTCGGAGGCACCCGTCATTCTTCATCGTGCGTGAAGTTATCCTCATTATCTTGGACATTGATTTGGAAGATAAACTCGTTACAACGAAGATTGACAAACAATGGCAACCCGTGCACACAAATTATATTGCATTATAGTTTATATCTTTCATGCACACGCGACGTATATATGTATATGTTACGTCCTAGCCTACGGATACGGTCGGGCTATGATGGAGTGTAAGAGAGAGCTGTCCTTTTCTCTGTCTCCGCACAATAGGCTAAGAAGTTCCGCTGTAGAAGAGTCGAGCGAGTTTGTTTGCACTCACAGACGGATCAATGGCATGCGCCGATCTTACTCCGTCTAGTAAAGCCTTGCTCGTCGATCCTTTTTAAGTCTAAAGCATTAGCTCTAATAACTAAAGACGGAACCGTGCGATCGTTTGAGGATGAAATGAGAGATCAAATAAGAATATATTTAAGTGTGTTAAAATTGATATTATTCGAACAAAAAAGACTTGTAAGCTATATTCCACCGGTAATAGTGGTTGTGTGTTTTCTTTTTAAATTGAAGGCAAAAAGATATTTATTTATTATGCGTGTCTAATTTAACAATTTAGTTTGAGATAAATGTGTGTTACGCGAAATTTTACAATATGTCAGAAGGGGTGTCACTCGGAGGCGGGAGAGGAGTATGTGTACGTCATAGACATATAAGAAATAGACTGCGCGTCCCGTATCTTTTCTGTGCAGAAAGAATGGTCAAACTTCGGACGAGGATAGATGCTTTCACCCGAGTCTCTATCCTTGTTTAGTGACGCGGTGATTGGCGGACAAGAAAAGTAGTAGGAATGAGAAATAGCGTAGTGGGGCAATAGAGGAGCATCGAGCGATGAAGGGGCGACAGTAGGCGATTGACAGCATAGACATTCTATGGAGTTGTCTTTCGAGTGGGGAGTCCCCACTCCAGGTGCTGAAAGACAGAGACAGAGACTCGGGTGAAAGCATCTGTCTCACTCCGAAGTTTGACTCACTTCCCCTCTCACACGCGCAGTCTATTTCTTATACGTCTATGGTGTACGTGTAGAGAAAGAGAGTGTGTATGAGAAGCCTCTAGTAGGTTTTTACAAGTGTGTTTTATATGCGTGAGAGTGTACGCGATTCATGGCATGATCGTTAAGGTATTACCCTCGATTGTTTTCTAATTTTTAGTTGTACTTTAAACTTTTACACAATGTTTAAAAACTTGATCTATGAACCCCTGAATTTTTTCAGATTTTTGTATCGTACAGTTTTTGAGAAATCAAAAATGAAATTTTGCATGATTTAACATGGAAGTGATAAGGAGAATGAGGAAATTACGTGCATTTACTTAAATATGTAAAGTTCAAATTTTTAGATTTGGCTAAAAATATTACTACAGCTTCTTTAAATTATAAAGAAAGTTGTGTGAAACATCAGACGCCTGTATCGTACAGTTTTTTAATAATTAAAATAACACAGAAAACGAGCGATTTTATGATTAGTATGAGAAAGAGCGATGTTACCATTTCCTCAATTGGAGTGAGATAGAACTATCTCCGCTCTCCCGCGCCCGCAGGGACGTGAGGGTAATACCTTAAGATAAAGCTGCACAACCGGTGTTCTAATATATTCCGAATCTTCTCTCTGAAGGGAATCTCTGAGCGAGTTTTTGGCGCGCAAAGTTCTAACGCGGTTTCCTGCTTTTTATATCCTTCGCAGTGCCCATCGTGTACCCTTTTGGTATAATTTCTCCTTCTCTCTCCCTTTTCGTTCCCTCTATTACCCCCCCCCCCCGGAGTGTTTAGTGAAGTATTTCGGCTGATCTGAGTGTGAGACGTAAAACTGTCGACATCTAACCTATTCAGTGTTTGCCGGCCGGAGGACGGGCCATTGCCCTCTCCGGCCTATGAAGACATTGGCGATGATTTAAGACTCTTTTTGTCGGGTACTGGCCCTCTACCTCCGAGGATGGACTCACCCCCGTCGGACTTGGAGATGGAGATGTCGCACGCGGTTAACCTGAAACGACCTCACCCATCCACGGATGAAGATATTGGCACGGAACCCCTCTCTTCGACGAAGATGATTCCTAGAAAAACAAGGAAAGGTCAAAATAAATTAAATATAGACCAAGGGTCTGTTCTCCCCTCAGTCTCTAACAAAGAACGAACAAGAGAAGCTGGGACCCCTCTCCCCCCTTCCAGCAGACACTTCATCAGGGGAAGATGAAGGACAACGTCCTCTAGGATCCCGGCCTTCCCAGCCAAGTCAACAAATAAGATCTCTTACGGTAAGAGACCCTCTTCCTCAGAAATATGGCGCTTTTACACAAGCCCCGTTTATTGTTCATTTTCGTGTTCAGACAGCTGCTGACACACAGAAAAGAAAGATTTCGGTAGTTACAATATCCAAAAAACTCTCTTCGTCCAACTTGAAATTTACCAATTTGCAGCGTCATTTTTTCAACACCTGAAAAGTAACCTTTCCATCAAAGGTGACAGCTAATAATTCTCTTTCCAACAAATATGTCAAGAAATCAGGAATGGTAGAGTACATTCCTAGATACAAACTAAGCAGAAGAGTACTTATGAAGGAAATTCCACTGGATATGTTACTGGAAGAGTTAAAACAAATCATAGAAGACGAGAACTCGAATCTAATGATCCTGAAACTGTTTTGCCTCCGAAGACGAGACAGAGCTACAAAAAAATGTCTAGACTCGGAAACGGTTTGTCTGGAACTGGCAGGTGAACAAATCCCGCAATTCATTATCATATTACGTACTGTTAACCCTGTTCAACCATACATTCCAGCTGTTTGTATGTGCTATAAATGTGGCCGTTTTGCCCTTACGAAAAAGAACTACTGCCGATTACATATAAATAAAATCAGTAATATAAATATTACTGACAATCACATAAGAATATTATTAGATATTACAGGAATCACTGAGAATATTACTGGCAATTACACAGAATGCCAGTAATTTTTTCGTACCACTGCCGCAATATATTACTGCCAGTAGTTCTTTTTCGTAAGGGTGGTCACATTAGCAAGTTTTGCGAAAACGAAGTTAAATGCCTAACGTGTGCTGAGTAGAGATGGCCAATTGTGACTTGATTAATCGACAATCGAATTGTTTTTGTTCATAATCGATTGTTTTTTTTTTTGCAATTGTTACAAATTCGATTAATCGATTGTATGATTGTTTTTGGGTTGCAAATAATCGGTAATCGAACAAAAAACTTATATTTCCAGTTTGTTGTTTATCTCGTCTGCTGCTTTCTTTTGATTTAGTGATGTTTTGTCTTAATTTTTTTAAATGTATTCTTTATATAAATACGCAACTTTATAGTAAAGAGTCGGAGATTTTGCAATTTGGTCCTTAAGTTCTAAAAAATTAAACTACATGAAAGCAGTTTTTTTAATGCACTTTCAGCAAAAGTGCAGTTTGATTCTTGTCGACTCTTAATCTCTTAAACTCTTTACAACATCAATAGTTTTAATATTTTTATGTTTAAATATATTTTGTTTTCTTTTTATTTTTTAACACTCTATGTGTTTTTTCATTT